GCCGCCCCCCGGGGCCGCGCCGGGGCCCGCGCCCGCTGCCGCCATGACCGCCAACGGCACGACCGAGGGGGTGCAGATCCAGTTCGGCCTCATCAACTGCGGTAACAAGTACCTGACCGCCGAGGCGTTCGGGTTCAAGGTGAACGCGTCGGCCAGCAGCCTGAAGAAGAAGCAGATCTGGACGCTGGAGCAGCCGCCCGACGAGGCGGGCAGCGCGGCCGTGTGCCTGCGTAGCCACCTGGGCCGCTACCTGGCGGCGGACAAAGACGGCAACGTGACCTGTGAGCGCGAGGTGCCCGGCGCCGACTGCCGCTTTCTGATCGTGGCGCACGACGACGGCCGCTGGTCACTGCAGTCCGAGGCGCACCGGCGCTACTTCGGCGGCACGGAGGACCGCCTGTCGTGCTTCGCGCAGACCGTGTCGCCGGCCGAGAAGTGGAGCGTGCACATCGCCATGCACCCGCAGGTCAACATCTACAGCCTGACCCGCAAGCGCTACGCGCACCTGAGCGCGCGGCCGGCCGACGAGATCGCCGTGGACCGCGACGTGCCCTGGGGCGTCGACTCGCTCATCACGCTGGCCTTCCAGGACCAGCGCTACAGCGTGCAGACCGCCGACCACCGCTTCCTGCGCCACGACGGGCGCCTGGTGGCGCGCCCTGAGCCGGCCACCGGCTACACGCTCGAATTCCGCTCCGGCAAGGTGGCCTTCCGCGATTGCGAGGGCCGCTACCTGGCGCCGTCGGGGCCTAGCGGTACCCTCAAGGCGGGCAAGGCCACCAAGGTGGGCAAGGACGAGCTCTTCGCCCTGGAGCAGAGCTGCGCCCAAGTCGTGCTGCAGGCGGCCAACGAGAGGAATGTGTCCACGCGCCAGGGTGAGTGGGGACACCGCCCCCGCCTCTCCCGGTCCGTGCACAAAGCACACCCCACCCCCGGCCCTCCAGCCTCCCGCCCTTTCTCGCCCGCGGCGCGGCTGCAATCCTGAGCGGCGCCGGGTGCGCCCCCGCTAGTCGCCTAGTCGCGCAGGCCACCTCGTCCCGCCGCGGGACGTGCGCTCGGGCGGGAGGAGGGGCGACGGTGGGGCTTGGCCCAGCTTTAGGGGCTGCTGCACAACCCCCACCCCGCGTTCGCGTTGGCGCTCCCCAGGCCTCGCGTAGGCGCGAACCTATGCGCCACCCTCCAGTGTCCCTGCCCAATCTGGCCTCTCCCCGTGCGCGCTGATCCGCGGATCCCGGGAGCCAGCCCTTGGCGAGGAGACGCCCCTCGCCCGGTTCCTCGCGCCCCTCCCCCTTCAGCGGGCCTCTAGCTCCAGGGCGGAGGCGAGGGTCGTAACCCGCACAGGGCGACCCCCAACCCCCACGGGCAGCCCCGCAGGCAGGAGGGGAGGCTTTGATCTCGGCGGGGTGCGCTTCCACCTCCCCGCCCTCTGGGCCTTTCTCCACCCCTCTCGCTGCCGGGAGGGGTCGGTCTCTGCTGGGGAGGGGGCTCCCGGGTGTCTGCCCTTCCCCCCAGCCCCTCCTCCCGCGTCTGCCCTCGTTGGAGGCCGCGGCCTTTGTGAGCAGGGGGGCGGGCTCCTCCACAGGGCCCTCCCTCACCCCCTTTGTCCTGCTAGTCTCTGCAGATGGGAAAACCAGATGCGGCGGGCGGGGGAGGGGAATCGGCTCTCTGTGGGTCCCCCCTTGCTGAAGATCCCCTCACACCACCCTTGGGCCCAGTGCCCTGGCCCTCAGCCTCCCCAGTAGGCAGCCTCCCTCCTCGCGCCGCGGCCCCGGGACGGCGTGGCGCGGATGGCGGCCCGCCAGGCACCCCGCCCTGCGCCGGCCGCGCGTCCCCAGGCCGGTGCACGATGCTCTGTGGAGGTCCGAGGGCGGCCTCAGCGCAAGCCTGGAGACCCCCGCCTGGATCCCCCGGGAAGCCCCCTGCCCTCGAGTGAACCCACCCCTCAAGGCTCCCCGCCTGGAACAATTGGCCTGGCCATTTCCTAGGCCTACGCGCCAGAAGTGAGCGCCCCTCGCTCCCTCCTCAGATTCTCCCCCAGGCGGCGACTCTTCCTTCTGGCTTCCCCGCCAAAGGCGAAGAAGGCAGTTGGTTCTTGGCAGTCAGAGGCCCCACTGGAGGGACCCTGTGGGGGTCTCGTCTCCCTGGATGGGAAGTTGGACCCCAGCTTCTGGAGATAGCTGGACGGGAGCCCAGTCAGTGGGGGGACGCCTTCCTCCCGAAGGCCACCCTCTGGGCTGGGCTCCTAGTAGGCAGCTGCAGCCTCGTGGACGTGGCAGTGGAGGCCCTGGTCCCTCAAATGCAGTTTTAGGCCTGACCCAGCTTCCATCCTACAGATGGGCGGGTTTATGGTCCAGAGAGGTGGAGCCCTGTGCCCGAGGTCACACAGCTAAGAAGCAGCCGACAGAACTGGGTTTGCTTGGCTCCGGAGTGGGCTCTTACCTGGACCCTCTGATGCCTCCCAGCCTCTGGGGCACAATGGGCCCCCCGTTTCCGGCTCACACAGTACTGGGTGGGGTAGGATTCCCTACCTGTTGGGCAGACACTGAGCTCTTGCCAAATGAGACATGCAGAGGCCTGAGTGGTGAGCAAGTGGGCTTGTCCCCGGCTCTCCCCTGGAGGGGCTGATGTCACTGGGACGTGATCCACTCCCCAGAGGTGTCCGGCAAAGGCCTGAGGTCCACAAAGTCCGTCAGGGTTCCGGGGTAGATGGTGGGTCCCTTTCTGAGGTAGATGCTTGAGCTCACCCGAAGGATGAAGAGGGGGTAGCATGAGCATGGATCAGGTGTGGACGGGTGCTGCGGGCACAGCTTGTGCAAAGGCCCCGAGGCAGGAAGGAGCAGAGCCCAGAGTGAGGCTGAGGGTGTTTCTGGCAGCCACTGGTGAGCCTGGGCAGGTGCCAGCTCCTTTCCAGTAAAGATCACTGGGGTGTCATGGTGTGATTCAGGCTGATGGGGCAGGAGCAGCCAGAGATGGGCCAAGAGAGGTGTTGGCTCACCTGTGAGTTTAAGGGGACACGGAACTTAACGGAGGGGGCCTTGGGAGCTGGCTTCAGGTCTTGGGGTTCTCATTTCCTTCTCACGTTAGCTCACCCTGGGTCTTCCTGGTGGGATGGAGGACGGCAGAAGGACCCCGAGCCGGCGGGGGGCGGGGGTGTCTGCAGAGGCCATTTTGGACAGGCTTGCGTGGCAAGGAGGCAGTGCCTGCACTTTCTACACACGCCGGGCAACGCCGCCAGCCAGGAAGGAGGAGGATCCCAGCTTAGCCGCCGGGGGGACGTGATTCATCCCTCTCGTCCCCGCAGGCCTGGCGGGGGCGGGGTGCTCCCTGCCGAGGCAGCAGCCTACTTGCCTGCCTTGGTTTCCACATCTGTAAAGGGCTAGCCCCAGGCTGTCCTGGGCACATTCTTTCAGGCGAGCTTTGTTTCTGGGAGGGGGCCATCATAGCCACTATTAGAGGCAGGGTCGACTGCCAGGGGTGTAGCTGTGACCACTTCACAGGTGAGGACATGGCTTGGGCAGGGGTGGCAGGCAGATGGCAGAGACACTGGGTGAGTAGCACTTCATACTCCTTGGGACCCTCACCTGCTGTGGGCTCCATCCAGCCAGACCCTGGTCCGTGCCTTACATTTTCCAGCTGGTCTCAGAGCCTTCTTGCATCTGGCCAGCTGCACTCTGGGGACTCCACGCTCAGGAAGTGTCCTGTCCAGCTGCTTGAAGGGGAGACTGGCTGGCTGAGGAAGGGCTGGCCAAGTGGGCTTTGCAGGTTGTGTAAGAGTTCTCCTGATGAGGCAGGGCATTTCAGGCCCAGGGAATGGATTGTGCAAGGATGATGGAGGGATTTGTGGTCAGGTAGCAGCAAGAGCTGCTAGAAAGAGGGGGGGGAGGCACGGCTGCTTCCAGGCCCCTCCCCTAAGCTGAATAGGGGAGGCGGGGAGGGCCTGGGGAGCTTGGGAACTGCTCAGGCTGCGGAGGATGGGGACCAGGGGGGGTGTTAGGCAGGGAGGGGTTCCGCCTCTGAGCCGTGATAGAGGGGGTAGGCGGGGCTGTCCACGTGTCTCTCTGGGGCTCTGGAGGGAAGGGGGAGATGCGCCCACAGGCTCCGCTAAGCCCCCGCGTCTCCTGCGTCCCCAGGGCTCCTGTGGGCCTGTGACTCAGGTTTTCTGTGCTGCTGTTGGTGAATAGAAAAATCCCAAAGACAACCCTGTTTCCGTAGCAACCCAGCTCTAATTAGAGACTCCAAGGCCAAGAGGGGCCTTTCCAGTTTGGGCGGGGCCTTGGAGCCAGGGGGTGCCATGTTGGGTGGTAAGGGGAGGCTGCTCCTCTTACCCCACCCCTTCCTGTTGGGGTGAAGATCTGGCATCTGTCAGCATCAGGCCTTCAAATCTTTTCAGCCTCCTGGCCCAATGGAGAGATTGGCCCTTTCGACAGGCAGAGAGGAAACTTAAGCTGAGTGAGGGGACGAACTCACCCAAGGGTGCATGGCCACTGATCTGGGTACCTCACTGGCCTTGCCATCAAACCAGTTCCAGGAGTGGACACGGTCTGAGGACCTGAGCAGATGGTGGTGGTCAGATGGTCCTGGGCAAGTGGCGTCCACTGCAGAGCCTCCCTTTGCTCCTCTGTGGGAGGAAGATGCCCCAAGTCCGTGGTTCAAGCCGGTGCATGTCCACAGGTGGCATGGGGGGGTGTCCCTGGCTAAGCGCTCAGTAAGCAAA